GGTGATAAACTCCTTTAGCTTTTTTTTATTAGTGAAGCTCTTTATCTGGCCTTTGATTCTGAGTGCTAGCTTTGCTGGATAGATTATCTTTGGCTGTAGGTTCTTGCTATTCATCACCTTGAATATTTTTTGCCATTCCCATCTGGCCTGAATGGTTTCTGTTGAGAAGTCAGCTGACAATCATATAGGTGCTCCTTTATAGGTAACTACCTTCTTTTCTCTTGCTGCGTTTAATATTCTCTCTTTGTCTTTTGCTCTTGGAATTTTAATTATGATGTGTCTTGGTGTGGTCTTCTTTGGATTCCTTTTGTTTGGATTTATGTGCGCTTTCTGGACTTGTAAGTCTAATTCTTTCACCAGGTGGGGGAAGTTTTCTGTCACTATTTCTTCCAGTATCTTTTCAATATCTTGCTCTCTTTCATCTTCTGGGACCCCCATAATTCTGATGTTGGTTTGCTTGAAGTTGTCCCAGAGGTTTCTTACATTATCTTCAATTTTCTGGATTCTCTTGTCTTCTTGCTTCTGTGGAGGAGTGTCTTCTGGCTCTTTATGTTTCAAATCTTTGACTTGATTCTTGCGATCTTCCATTTTGTTTTTACGACTCTGTATAATATTTTTTATTTCAGACAATGTATTCTTTATTTCTTGTTGATCCCTTATTAGTACTGTTGATCCCTTTTTATCTCCTCATAGGTCTTATTGACCTTTTTTAGGAAATTCTTGAAAAACCTTATAAGCATGGTTTTGAACTCTATATCCAGTTTCTTCTTTTCCTCCATTTCTTTTGTTTGTGATCTATTTCCTTGTCTCGGCATTTTCACAACTTCCCTGAGTTGGAAGGGTGGCTTTGTGTGCTAAGGTGTCCTATATGGTTCAGTGAGTCAGCCTCCCAGTTACCTGAGGTGGACAGTCTTGGTGTAGCCCTTTGTGGGCTGTGTGTGCAGTCTTGTTGTTAAGCCTTGCTTGTTGTTGGTATCACTGGGAAGTGTTGATCTCCAAGCCAATTGGCTATGAGGATCAGAAGTGTCTCAGCAAGGAGGGTTTCTGTATTCCGCTTGGATGGGGTGGAGTTTCTCCTTCCCAGACAAGCTTTGTTGAATCCCGCACAATTGGTTGCAGACAAGCTTTAGATTCCTGTCTGCCCCTTTCTAGGAGAGTCCTATTGGCAGCGTACACAGAAGCTAGCCACTGGAAGGGCTTCTGGCTCCGCTTGGATGGGGCAGAATCTCAAGTGGTGCAGACAAGCTTTATTCAGCCTCTCTCTACGAGGGTCTGGTTTCTGAGTCCCGCAGTAATGGCTGCTGGCTTCACACAGCTCCGAGAGCTCCCTGCCCACTGCCCGACAGTCTGGCCTCTCCCTGTCTGGGGCCATCTATCAGAGCAATAGGGTGGTTCTGTTTTCCTCCCGAACAAGAAAGCCAGCCACACATTAGCTGTCCACCATCTCCGCGCACAGGGAATAAGCCGGTAGCGAACTCAGCCCGCCCTCTCCATGCTCCTCAAGCAAGCCGGCAGCGAACTCTGCGGCCGCCTTTTCGCACACACATTTCTCCGCACCTTCACAGTTCCTGAGGTTCAGCGCGCCTTCTTTCTCCTTCCCAGATGGTAGAGCCTCCTCTCAGCCAGCCATCCAGCACTTCAGGATGATGTTTCCCCTGTTTTTCAGTTCTAAATTCAAATTTGTTGTGGTAGGCTGCATTCGGGTGTCTACCTTATGCTGCCATCTTGGTTTCTCCCATTTTTATGAATTCTTTTAAATATTCCTGCCCTAACCTGTTTGGCTCAGTGGATAGAGCATCAGCCTGCTGACTGAAAGGTGCCAGGTTCGATTCCGGACAAGGGCATGTACCTTGGTTGCGGGTACATCCCCAGTAGGAAATGTGTAGGAGGCAGCTGATCGATGTTTCTCCCTCATCAATGTTTCTAACTCTATCCCTCTCTCTTCCTCTCTGTAGAAAATCAATAAAAATATATTAAATATTCCTTGAGAATTAGTGTGTATGCTATAGATTAGTCTTAACAGATCTTTCCTATAGCTGGCACAGCCTTTGAACTGACCACCGCGAATTGGGCTTCCAAATGTATGATGTGTTGTTGCATTTAAAATCAAGGGGGCTACAAAGCAAAATGCATAATAAGAATGCCAAGATCAAGCCTTAAAGTCACATTGGTGTGCTTTGTTTTTTTTTTAAGAGACTGTCTTCAGTAACACCGAGGGGTTAGATTAAACTTGCCAGATGTTCAATGGTCCTGAAAATAAATTCATAGCACCAAGGCCAACCCAAACCCAGATAATTAGCTAAATCATCTAGTGGTTAGAAACTGTACGGGCTATAAGAGAGTTGAATTGTTTCTTTGTCACCTTCCCTAGTTTATATTCCAATATAATTAAAACCCCATTAACATTGAATTCCTTACGTAATCACAGCCCATTTGGCAGGACTGTGGGGCTGCTTCAACATGTAATTAGTGAGGCTAAGTCAGGTGAGGGTCAGATTTATCAGTAGATGTGGGTAAGCCCCTGAAAATGAGCTAGCATATGTCATATTTCTCGTCTCCTACCACAGGGCTGCATGAAAGGCAAGTGGAGGAGTGTTTTAATGGCCTGCGCTGCCATTTATGTGCCTAAATGTATGTTGTAACCTAATGTGTATTGATGTCTGCAAATTACACTTGAAAGAAAAATAACCATGTCAACGTCTGCCGACATTAAACAGTGGGAGACTTTGTCAAGGTTTTCAGACTTTCCTCTGCCCTCAGATTTTTCTTGGTAGTGTTTGTGTACAAGGCATTTCTTTTCATTTATTGTATCCCATGACCCTCCTTGCTTGTGAGAGAAAAAGAAAGTCAATGGGGTAGATTTTTTTTTTCTTCTTTCAAACCAAAAGGCAGGCTTGGATTTTTTTTTCTTTCTTTCTTTCTTTCTAATATTTTCTTTAAATATGTTTTTTTTTTTTTTAAACAGAACTCTTAGCTGGTGATAGTTTGCTTTTATAAAGATCACCACCCTTTTCATCCTGTTTCTTCGTGTTCCGTGGTGTCATAATTATTTGTCTCCCATTTAGCCGCAAGGTGTAAATTTGCTAACTGAAAAGGCGTGCTCTAACAGTTCACCTCACCGTGTGTCTAAAGGCTGAGCTGGCCGCGCTGGATAATTTCCCTGGGGGATGGTTCTGTGTGATGTGGGGCCATTTGTTGAGCTGTCTAATGTGGAAGAAGAGAAAATGAAAGGGCCTGCCAGACAGAAGCAGGCTCATACAGTGCCTTTGAGAGCAAAGAGGGAAATCAAAGGGCAATTTCAGGTCCACTCCAGTTCCCCAAGCGTGTGCCTGGGAACTAGAGAATCGGGATTTTTTTATATTAGTGCTGTCAGAAAAGTCACTAAGAGAAAGCCCCAAGCCATGAGGCAATGGCAAATTTAGTAATGCCTCATGGGCTGTGCTCGGAAATTACCACCAAGTCAGAATCCTTCCATAGGTGCCTGGGAGTTACTGATTCTTCAAGGGTCTACAAAAATGTTTGGAACTAGAAAAATATGGAATTCAGATAATCCACCCAAGATAAACTTTTTTGGAGTTTAGAGTCAATATCAATGTACTCCAAAAAAAAAAAAAAAGTATCTAGAAGGTAATTAAATGTTTAATTGAATGTCTACAAAATTTTCATTATCAACTTAAGTATTAAAAATGACATGGAAAAACAAATTGTGAATTCATCTTTCTTACTTTCAAGGTTTTGAGCATGCCAGTCACAAATTCAATGAATTGCACATAGCCAACAATTTGAAATGCAAAAGTATAAAAATTCCTTTCATTTTTTTACACACAAAAAAATGGATATTTTAGATGGAATGTGGGGGGCCACTTAATGTTCTTTGTATGACGTGTGTGGTAGGACTGAAAAAGAGAGCCGAGAGCCGTGGCAGGTGTTAGAACAGCTTTGCCTGTCTGCGGGTCTCCAGGTGTGTGGTTATTCTTGAAGATGCAGATCAGCAAAGACTGGAGTGGGGAGGACCGGCAGGCAAGGCAGGGGAAAGGTGCTGGGTTTTTCTTGCTGTGTGCATTCACAGTTGAGGTGGAGCGAGCACAGTAGTGGTCTGAACGTGAGGAAACTCACAAGACACCTGCCTCCACATCACTGGGAAGATCACAGGAAGGTGCCCAGTTCTTTGGAAGAAGAAGTGTTCATATGAAGTTGGGGCATGTGGGTAGAACTCCACTGTCACCTTACCTGAGTTGTCTTCTCTCCCAACAAATGCATAGGTCCTCACCTTCTACTGTGTTTTAGTCACCTTTCCTCAACCTGACAGATATTTCCACTTTTCACATGAACAGCTTGAAGCTGTGGGGGAAGGAAAGAAGATGGATTATCTGAATTCCATGTGTGATGAGCCTAGTCTAATTCAGTGACCTTACTTCTTCGGGCATTACTTATTCTTGTTGACCACATGTGGGCAGTGAGTGTTGCTCCCTCCAAGAGACTAGGAAATATGTCCCTTCCTTGTAATCTTATTCCCAGCAATAATACTTTGGAATAATCATTGCAGAGTTTTTTTCTTCCCATATACTAAAGTATCATTATTTATTTTCAAAATGAGATAGAAGTAAGCTTTCCTTTTTTTTTTTTTTTTTTACTTAATATAGCTTAGATTTTTTTTTTTATGTCAATATATGTTTGCTCACTCCATTTATTTTAATGACCATGATACTCCACTTGGTGGCTGGGGCCTAATTGACTTAACTGCCTTCTATTGCTGGGCAGTTTAGTTGCCCATTCAATTTTGATCATTCGGGAGCATGCACCATATACCTAAACAAACCATTATATTGGCTACAAATATACACTCTGAGCCCCTTGTGTTGGCATAGTCCTTCCCAAAGGAGCAGGAAAAAATACCCACAAATATTTCCCTACGCTGATGCTTGTTATTAAGTGTGAAACCTGTCTGTGCTTCATCGTTCGTTTATTTGTCTCTGTTTTTGTCTTTTTCTCTTACACAGTCATTTACAGTCAGGGACAAGGATGAACCGACTCTGCCGGTAGGAAGCAGTGGCCCTGTCTGTATGTGCCTGTGGAAGGGGGTGGGAGTATGAAGAAAGGGCTCATGTGCTCAACAAATCCCCCTCTCCCTTGGAATACTGAGTGGTTTGATCTGTGGCTGTGTGTGTGCGTGCTGTGGCCTACAATTAGTGTCAACTGAATCCTGACATTCATTGACCAATTGTCTCTGGGACTGTTTCAAAAAGCCTGAGTTCTCTCTTTCATTCGGCATGAACTTTTATAGGAGCTGAAAGAGTGAGATAGTCCCACATTACATTCCAAGGGATGTTGAGCTGATATTTGGGGGCATTGCGGGGAGGCATCTAATGCTTGATATCTGTTTCCTTTATGTATCTGCATGCACCTAATTTTTGGTTGGAAATTTCTTTTGGTTCCATAAAAAGAAAAACTGCATGAGATCTATATATGTGCATAATGCCCAAAAGAATGCTTCCAGTTCTTTTATAGCTATCATGCTTTGCTAATGAAGATGTTCACAGCAGAGTCCTGCCAGTTTCTCAGAATAAGAACCGTAGTCATAGTGGTCATGACCAATTATTAACAACAAGCACATGTTTCAGTTCCTGTCCAATTAGCACGTCACATCTGTGTGTGAAGCATGACAAGGAAATGACCTTCAGAGTTTTTGTCTTCAGCCATTAAACAGTGATTACATTTCAAATCTATTCAAATCTCTTAACCTTGCCTCTAAAATATTTTGAACCTTAACCAACTGAATCAAAATAACACAATGCATTAAAAAACGTTACAAATTTCTTAAGGCAGAAGGGCATAGGAATGAAGATACATACTGCTCCATTCTTCCTCCTCTAATACTCAATGCCAAGATGTATGACACTCACTGAGAGCCCACAGTCTATGCCAGATCCAGTATTGGGCTACCGGTACAGACCCAGTCTCTTCCCTTGAAGAGCCCATGATCTGGCTCATCACTGAGACACCTGTAATCCCCTTTGATTCTTCTCCAAACACTGCAAATCTAGGAACATATTTTCTAGTAGAATATCAATAACAATAAAATCAGACTAAGAAATCCAGACATTTCCATGTACTGCATACTGACATTTTACCCATGCTCCAAGTTTACCATAGGTTTAATGTTTGTCTCCAAACACACAGACTATGATTGTTAATAGGTATTCTTCAGAGTAAGGCTCCATGGGCAATAGTTCAAAAACTGTCCAAGTTTACCAAGTTAACCTGATTTTAAAAAATAAATAAATAAAAAAACTTAGTGGCCTAATGTGTATCTTAAAACTTGAAAGTTGCTTTGGTCTGAGGTATAGCACTTTCCAAAGTATTTGACCATGGAATCTCTTATGGGACTTTTCTTGGGAAACACTGTGTGGATCTGGAGTACAATGGAACATTTTGAAAAATTCTGTGTTGTAGAGATTGGAAGGCAGTGGGAAAGCATATTTTATTTTAACCAGATCCCAGAAAAATCTCATATCAAGAATTTGGATCAAAAATTCAATAAGAAATTCATATCTGCACATTGTGTTGCCCTCTCTTAAATCTCTGTCTGTGAAGCTTGGCCTCTGGAGCATCGTCCCCTGTGTTAACCAACACAAAATCAATCCAAGGAGAGGACAGGTCCTAATCAGGATAAAAACCAGTTGCAATCCACTGTTTGGATATTTATTTATTTTTTTTAGATTGTTTGTTTTTGGAGATTTTAAAAAAAAAAAGAGTTTGGCTGAAACCGGTTTGGCTCAACAGATAGAGTGTCGGCCTGTGGACTGAAAGGTCCCAGGTTCGATTCCGGTCAAGGGCATGTTCCTTGGTTGCTGGCACATCCTCAGTAGGGGGTGTGCAAGAGGCAGCTGATCAATGATTCTCTCTCATCGATGTTTCTAACTCTCTATCCCTCTCTCTTCCTCTCTGTAAAAAATAAAGAGTTTGTTGGTAATCTCACCTCTAGAGGTTCATTGTTCCTCTCTTACCTGCCAGTTTCATTTATTTGCCCAAAGGTTCACTCTAGCAGGAGTTTATACAAAAGAAATCCTCCCTGTGAAGTTAGGAAGCTTCTCTGTAGATTCATAAGTGGTTCTTTCTCTTTAAATCTCACTCAACACAGACCATTGGGCTTCATGGACTAAAGCTGTGCTCCAGGGCTGAGAAGAGGAACTCTAAGAGATGTGTGAAATGTTCTTTTGGGGAGAAGGGAGAAGTAGTAACACCTCTATCATCTACTTTCAATATTATTCTTCATAATTTCCACCTTTTCAAGTGTTTTATAATATATATGCTCATTTTTAATATAGGTATGGATATAGATAGATACAGATACAGATGGGTACATACGCATACACATACATACTCAAACATTTTACTGATAGGGTGCACAATCCAAACATTGTAGAGATCACACACTGGTTCAAGTAACAAATTCTGAGAGAAGCAAACTTGAGATTCATTCCTCTACCCTCCATTTCCTGAATTGGACACTTCGTTTTACTTCTCTATAACAGTTTCCTCATCTATCTAAAGGAAGTAATAGCCCAGCTGGTGTGGCTCAATGATTGAGCATTGACCTATGAAGCAGGAGGTCACCATTGGATTCCTGGTCAAGACATATGCCTGGCTTGCAGGCTTGATCTCCAGTAGGGGATGTGCAAGATGCAGTTAATCAATGACTCTCTCTCTCTCTCTCTCTCTCTCTCTCTCTCTCTCTCTCTCTCTCTCTCTCTCTCTCTCATCAATTAAAATATATTTTAAAGGGAAAAAATAACAGCACCTAGTTCATTTAGTTCATTTTGTGAATGAAACATATAGCACATTGACTAAGCATTTACTATGCTCTAAAAATGGTAGCAGATTAATTTGTTTAGGAAAGGCTGTGAGAAAGCCATTCCTTTGGGGGATTTGAAATGTACCTCGGGAATGTTTGGTCAACAGTGTGTGATCATGTGACAGAAACAAGTGACCACCAGACAAGGGGAGCATCTTATGTGTAATGCACTTGCCTTTTGTTTCTGAGAACTAACAGCATGTTTGTCTGGTTTCTCTGTTCAGGCCAAGCCACGTCTCCAGCGAGGTGGAAGCTCTGCCTCCCTCCACAATAGCCTCATGAGGAATAGCATCTTCCAGCTCATGATACACACCCTCGACCCACTCGCTGAAGGTAAACACCCGGCTTTAGTTTGGAAGCTTGTTTGGGGGAAAGAGGACGTGCTTCTCTTCATAAAACATGTTGACGCTTTCGTCACACAAGCCTGCCAGTGTCCCCATGCTTAGCATCTTCCAGAGGAAGCCCTGGTCCTCTGGTGTGCTTTCAGCTCATAATTGGAGATGTTTGTCCGAGGCGTAGAAATGGACATCCATGTGCCTTTTGATTCTGTCTTTTGATTCCTCCGGCGTAAATGCACTTTGTTCTGAGACAGAGAAGACAACGAGGTTTTCCTCCCTTCCTGCTAGAGTGACAGTTCCCTTTCTCATCCTTCCTAAGTGCCATAATGAAGTTGTTTATGCTAAGATAAACTGTGCCTCTTTTAAAAAGAAGGGTGAGAAGTCATGACTTAGGAGGGCCAAGAGGAGTTTGGGGAACCATGTTCACTGCTGCACATCGATGTTGTAGTGATTCTTTGGCAATTGGAGGGTGCGAGTAAGTGCTTAGGATTGGTCACGGGAGCCCCAACAGGCCTGATTCACCTCATCGGGAAATCATATGAGCCACCCCAAAGACTCCACTATGGAGTTCTTTCAGTTTTACTCATTCCCAAGGAAGGCAGATACATCAAGTTTCTTATATTGCATAAGTGTTCTAAAAAAGTAATTTTTCAGGTAGGTGGATATTTTATGTGTCAAATAAAGATCCTAGTTAGGCCACTAGCAAGAGTGTCCTATTAACCAAGTCTGTTCTCCCTTCGCCCATGGACTTTATAATTGGGCCTGATATTACACAGGGACTACCAACCCAGGGAAACTGAATAAACATGAGGGATGAGATTGACAAATAATGTCTCATAAATCAGAGCTTGGACCCGATAGAAAGCTTTGCTAAGTAATGTCCAGGCTACAGGCAATCGGAGATTCAGATGAAGAAAAGAAAACTCGAGGACCTCGAAAGCAGCTCCCCAGGTCCTAGCTCCCCTCACTGACACACACCACGCCCCCAGAATAATAGGGGAGGAGTCACCACTCACTGTGGAGTTTCTCAATGATGAAAATTTTTTTCATTTTGTACCCCAGAGAGTTATAGAGCTAACATGATGTTCCCTGCTTCATAGACCCTGAGTTCTATATACTAGCCAGACACATCCTAAATAGTTTACTCTATTCACCCTGAGGCCCATTGGACAAGGAAATTAGACTTGATCACTAGCCTTCTTCTTCTCCTGAGCACACCCCAGAGAAGAAAGTGAAGGGATCACAGGTCCACTTCCTCCCAGCCACTAAGCCCTTGAGTGGCTTTGGGCAGGTTAGAGTCCCACCAGCATGTACTTGGTTTCTTCATCTATAGTAATAGTCAGTGACCTCTGTTTAGCACTTCATAGTTGACAAAGCATTTTCACACCTACATTATGATTTATAATAACAGTTCATAGCCAATATTATTATTCTAATTTTATATCATACCATTAAAACATCTCAGATTTATCTACTGTTCTCTCTACCAGCACGTTGTTTCAAGCCATCTCCATTGCTTTCCTGGATTCTTACAGTAGCTTCCTAGTTGGTCTTCTTCTTTCCCCATTACCTTCTTCTTTGTATATTTTCCACACGGCAGCCCAAGTAATCTTTAAAAGTATTCGATTCCGGTCAAGGACATATACCTCAATTGCAGGCCTTGTCGTGGCCCATGCGGGAGGCAACCAATTGATGTGTCTTTCTCACATCGATGTTTTTCTCTCTGTCTCTCCCTCTCCTTTCCATTCCCTCTAAAAAAATCAATTGAAAAATAGCCTTGGATGAGGATTAACAACAACAAAGAAGTGAATGCAATTATGTCAATCCTACCTTATAACCTGTAGTGGCTTCCCACGATTCTTAGGAAAATTGTGAAATACTTAGCATGGTCCACATGATCTGCCTCTTTCTCCAAACTCAGTTTGACTCACCTAGCTTTAGCACAAAGGCCTTTCTGTCCTGAAGCAGGTACTTCTTTCCAGCCACAGGGCCTTTGCACCCAGAATACTTTCCTCTACTCCCACGCCACCATCACCTACCTCCTCTGTTTTCCTGCTTTACCCCTGCCCATTCTACAGCACTCTGTCTAATGGACACTTTCTGACCACCTAGCATAAATGGACCCCCAATCCTCAACTCTCCATGCATTCTTTAATTTCTCTTTATTGCTCACATTATGGTTGTGTGATTATTGGTTTACTGCCTATTTCTTCCCTCATCCGATCCCCAGGATACAGTAAGTTTCTCAAGAGCAGGAACTATTTTATTCACTACTTGTCCCCAAGATTTAGCAGAGCGCCTGGCATAGAATAGCTGCTGAGGCTCAGAAGGATTAAGCAACTTGGCAAATTCATGCTTTTAACCTATAATCACACAATTTCAAAGCCCTCTAAACCCCCACAGGTTTAAGATTGTATCTTGGTTATTTTGAGCCACTATCTTCCTCACCCCATCTCTGTGGAGGGCCACGTGAGAAAAAGGAAAGAACTATTTTATCTGCTTCAACTCTCTTACGAGCAGGCAACTGAGAATATTTATTTTTAGCAAGCCAGTTTTATGTGGTAATTAAGAGGACATACTCCAGAGCTAGTCTCTCTGGGTCCAGATCCCAGCACTGCATTTACTAGCTGTGTGACCTTGAACAAGTTACTTACCTTCTCTGTACTTCAGTTTCCTCATCTGTAAAATCAGTATGATACAGAGTCATGTCTAATCACAAGCTTATTATAAGTATTAAAGGAGTGAATATACATAAAGCATTGAACATAGTGCCTAGCAGGACATAAGTACCACGTGCAGATTTAAAATTATTCTGTTTTATTATTTTGAAAAGTAATACAGCATATGGTTTTTGTTTTAAAAAAAAAAATCAAAATATTCAAAAGGCTATGGGGAAAAAAAAAAAAAAGCCAGCTACCAATTTCTTGGGATTCATTCCGAAGATGCTCTATGCATATAAAACTCGTGTGTGTGTGTGTGTGTGTGTGTGTGTGTGTGTGTGTGTGTATGTGTGTGTGTGTGTGTGTGTGTGTGTGTGTGTATGACCTTGCCCACAAGTCTCAACAATCTAAATTTCTCTGGGGTTTTTTTGTTGTTGTTGTTGTTTGAGGGAGTTCAGTTTCTGGTAGGGCCTTTTTTTGGTTTTGCTTTCTTCTGAGGGAGGTTGTTTTGTTCCTGTGAGAAACGAGGCAGTGAATCAATCCGGGTTGTCTCGGAGCTGGGCCATCAGCGACTTCCGAAACACCTGGCCATTGTGGGTCGCGCCGCAGTTAAATGCTTGCTCCTGCTGTACCCATATGTGCCTCTGGACTGCTGTACCCATATGTGCCTCTGGACGCAGGCGCCCACTTTCAAGGTGAACCCGCTCCCTGAAGGACGTGGAGTGCTCCGATGGTGCGAATCCGAGAGGATGCTGAGAGCCATAATCAGCTCTGGACTTGAGTGATTAGGAAATATGGAAAGCACTTCAGTGCTTTAAAATTGCTCCACAGCATGCAGCCAAGGAAACAGATTGCTCTGGTATTTATCCCCCAAGTTCACAATCATTTTCCATTTCAAGAACCACCGAAAAATTAACCCACAGCTCTCAGAAATCGTCATCTCTCTTTCAGTTTGTGTCTGATCATTTGAATTCACATGTCCTTGTGCCAAACTGTCACTCCCCTTTAACGATGTAGAGGCTGCTGGTTACATCACCACGCTGACGGCACAGGCACTGCAGTAGCTCCCCTGTGGCAATAGGGACAGTTTGCTGGTAGTCCTGGCATCCACCCAGCTGAGTACTGCATCCACAGGGTGTACGATCAGGGTCCTTCAGAGGGAAGCTTCCAACTTCATTTGAAAAACATTGTCTAGGTCGGCAAACCGCGGCTTGTGAGACACATGCGGCTCTTTGGCCCCTTGAGTGTGGCTCTTCCACAAATTACCACGGCCTGGGCGAGTCTGTTTTGAAGAAGTGGCATTAGAAGAAGTTTAAGTTTAAAAAATTTGGTTCTCAAAAGAAATTTCAGTCATTGTACTGTTGATAGTTGGCTCTGTTGACTAATGAGTTTACCGACCACTGGTCTAGGACAAATGGGTTAGAGCAAGAGTGAGGAACATCTGTCCTGTGAGCTGTCTAAGACCCAAGAAGTCATTCATTTGGTCTGGTTCTGCTAAGGCAACTGTAGGCGGGACTCAAAATTCAATAAATCTAGGAGCTTTTTTCATAGGAACATAAATTTATATTATATTAAGCGAATGATGTTATAAATATTCAAAAGGCCCTTCGCAGAAAGAAGGTTCCCCACTCCTGGGCTAGAGAAAGACATTTCACTCTGTCTCACCTGTGCCCCTCATGGGTTTTGTCTTCTCAACCCCAATGTTGAGCCCTTGCCAGAAGCTTTAATTGGTGGTTGTTTTGGCCTCTGAGCCTGAGTCACAAGACCTAGCAGGGTTTGTGTTTCGTTTTGCTATTGATAAGTAACAGAGCACCCAACACTTGGTGGCTTAAAACCACCATCATACTGTTCATTGCTCATGATTTCATAGGTCAGAAGTTTGGGCAGGGATCAGCAGGGTGATTCTTCTGTTCCATGTGCTATCAATCAAGTCCATTGGTGTGATCACTTAATAGATGGGCAGGTTAGACGGTCCCAAAGGGCCTCACTGATGTGTCTGGAACCTTCATAGGCACAGCTAGAAGGCTGGGCTCAGCTGCACCCTTCTGACTCTCCACGTTGTCTCAGGTCTTTCCACCTGGTTGGACTTCTTACATGGCAGCTAAGGGTTCCAAGAGCAACCCTCCGAGCTCAGGGGAGCTGCAGGCTTGCAGTGATCTAGCCTGGGAAGTCCCAGAATGGCTCTTCAGTACATTCTGACAGTCACGAAGGCCAGACCAGACTGAAGGAGAGGAGACTCAACTTCTCCATGGGAAGATACCATAGAATCTGAGATCACCTTTAATATAACCCAGTCTGTCTCAGGGGCATACACCGCTGGTTGGCTCACCTGCTC